TGCATCATGAAATCCTGAATCTCTTGAAAAATGTTACTTTACAATTCATTTGCGTTAAGTTTTTATTGTGTTATGCTTATAACATTCTATAATCAGCAAGAGTCTAAACTTTTTTATGATAACATAGAGATAAATGCTAATACTAATTGGGAAAGGGTGTTTAGAAAAGGCTAATTTTATAAATGGGTAGTTCATTAGTGAAAATTTCCTACTATGACAGTTTTTGCTTCCCTACATTGTCATATATCTTTGGGGACTGGAATAATGCTTTGGTAATCAGGAACTCTTGCAATTTGCAATCAGATGAAAGTAAGGGCTAGAAAGTAAGCAAGTGGTAAAGCTGGAAATGCAAATTGGTGTCTTCTACAAATGTCTGTTGTTGACATAATGACTGTGGATGAGAAACTCCTGGGCAAGAGGACCAATGGTTGAGGCATTGAGAGAATCAGTGAAAAAGTGAAAGAGAAAACCTTATAAAATATAGAAGAATAATCACATACATTGGAGCAGAAGAAAGGGAAAGTGGTACACTAGAAGATTAGGGCTGTGGGAGGTACACATTAAGGACAAAGGGGATGGCCAAGTACATTTGATATGGCTGTCTGATAGGGCAGGAAGTTGTGGCTGAGAAGTCATCCATGTTAATTCATACTGAACATCTAACTCCAGAAACATGCTAAATAGGTAGAATAGATGCCCTGGGAGGTCTAGGTCATAGATCAACTAGAAATTCTGTGAAAACTCTCACTGAAAAATCTATTGATACTGGCCTGTTCCATTTGCAAGCATTTGGATTCTTGTGAATTCACACACCTACACTTCCTTGTTCTCTCAGCGTTTAACAAGACCTTATGCAGGTAGTAGACAAGGATGTGATAAGTAGTAAGTCAGAAAGAATCACAGAAACCAAAACAAGATTTAAATTATAGATGAGTTTTGGGCTATGGTATTCTCCAGTATCGCCTGGAGAAGTATGTAGAATCAAATATTTCAAGTCAGCACTCCCCAGAACAAATGTGCATTAGATGCTCTCTCCATATAACATTAATTGTACAGTTGGGTCAAGCATGGTACATGCTTATAATTTTTTAAGTCTTTTTTTCTAAATTTTCTTGATGCTTATTATTATCCTTTCTTAGACTTCCCTATATTGTTTTATAGGAAACAATGTTGTTTTCTTTTATTGTTCCTCTTTTTTTAAGTTCCCTAATAATAATAATAACCTACATTTCTGAGTTCTAAAATATGCCTTAACCATGCACTGATGTCAGCCAGCCTCTTCTATTGGTTCTTTTTAACCTGCAAATGACTTATTATAATAAAGGAGATGACTCAAGTTCTCAATAAAGCTTTGAAAATGTTATCTCTACTTAAAGTCTTCAATCAAATACTTCTAGCTGTTTATGGAAATGTGTTGGCATGATTTGAAATTCCGGCATTTAAAAAAAATTATCAGTTGGCCCCATTCTTGGCCACTCAGAAAACTTTAAAAAAAAAATTGTAGGAGAAACTAGCATTTCAAGAGATATATGAGACCATTTGGAGGTTTTTTATGCCAGCATGGAAAGTGAGGAACAGCAGTTTTCTTGTATGTGTTATTTCATTGGACAGGGTAAAAAAGTAAGCCATAGAAGGAATCTTAATAGCTCACATAATCCACTCCTGTTTTCATGCTAGAGTCTCTCTAAAAAAAAAGAAGAGGTGGGTGGTGGTGTCTTGAATTGCAGTCTATAGGTTCTCACAGAAGAATCTTTTTATGGTCCTCAGATATGCTTGAATCCCCTAAAACCAAAAGGTTAAATATTGATCTGAAGTCTATCAGAAAGGTCAACACTTATAAAGTTAAAAAGAAAAATTCAAGATTTTGAAGTATATTTTTTAAAGTGATACATTTCTGATTGTCAAATTCTTATAATTAAAATATTTTCCTTCATATTTCAGAGCAATAATTAACTGTGTAGACTAAATTGAAGTCAGCCTTGAAGGAAGAAGACACAGGTAACATTTACTCACAACCAGTTCTAACTTTGTATAATTCTTAGCTACAGACAAGATTTAGAATATGACACTGGAATGAGAAAAAGTGATGATAAACTAGGAAAAGGTCAAATTCTAGTTGAGAATGATAGCTTGAGTTACAATGCTTAATGCAATGGACTGACTCTGGCCTCTACTCATTCTTTTTATTGGCAAAGTTTCTTGGAAAAAGTCTTAGGTCATCATCAGGTTTGAACAATGGCCAAAATGCCTATTTAAACAAAAGAAGGAAGTGAAATTTCTTGGTACAGATATAATTTACCAGTTGCTAATGGGAACATCATATAAAAGATACTTTGAAATTATATAATGAATATTAAACTTTTAGAATGCAGGATTACATGTTCCAGGATCCACTCACTATAGCAGGTAGGCCAACCGCCAACCACTCCCATAATGCCCTTCTTCTCAGCCTTGATAGACATTTACGCGTTATGTTGAACCATGCACCTAGAATGCCCCTCACTAACTTCCACCTTCGTCCTGTCCTGCCTCTTTATCGAAGACTTTGACTACACAATCATTGCACTATAAATATGGGGTCAAATGATATAAAATAAAAAATGATTTAAATATATATACTTAAAAAATACTTGATAAAAGGATGAATGGACCAGGAAAAGTTATATGTACTCTTTATTTGAAATAATGTGTTTAGCCACTAGATGTCACCCTTTTTTAAGCGACAAAGTTTACTTGACAAAGTTTACAACATCAACAGCAGTTACGTTCCACTATAGGGTAGAAGTTACCATCGGAATTAGTCCCTCTGATATCACATAAAAAGAAGCTTTAACAACAGACAAACGAAGAAACAACAAACAGGCTTTCCTGTAAGAAGGGCTACATGAGTCAGACTGAATTGAGTCGTCAGTCTCCAAAGCCAGATAGTTAAAATGCAACAATAGTTAATAACGTATAATTTTCAAAAAAGTTAAAAGCATGGCTCTCATACAAATATAAAATGAACACATATAAAGATCTCAATCAACTCATTAATTAGCAAGGGAGCCAATTAAGATGGTGAGGCCAGTACGAGAGAGAATTCAAGGAATAGAGACTTACAGGGTCAGTCTGAGCTTGGCAATAGGTACAAAACGGTTTAATGTCCCAAAGGTCACAAGCTGTAATCTTTAAGGCTATGTTTCCTGCTTGAGAGAAATGGTCTCTACTAGGCAAAATTCTACAAGTTAACATGCAGCTTCACATTGAGGCAACAAAATACTTAGCCTACATGTATGGATCACCTGTCATGCTTCAGTGGCTATGCTAAGTGCTTTCCATGCATCATCCCATTTTAATCTCACAGTAATTGCCTATGAGGTGAATGCTGATGTTATCTTTATATAGAGGCTAGAACACTATGAAGTCAAGGACATTCTTCAGGTTATGGACCAGCAAGTGAGTGATCAAGCTGGAATGTAAATCTGGTCTGTCTGCATGGTCTTTCTCCTGGGAGCATAAACTTAACAATTGCTTACTGGGTCTAGAGAATGTTGGGATTCTACAAGATGAGGCACATGCGAACACACTACAACCCCTCCACCCTCTCCAGTTCCTCATCCTTGAAAGGCAAATAACGGTGAAAGAAATCTGAAGTTCAATAGAGATGCTGTAAAATCAGTTAAACTGCTAATACTTGCATTCTCTAGAATTTGTGTAGATTACTTACCCTCGCTTCCCTTTGCTGATTCCTCTATTGCAATTTAAATAAGTGGAGAGTTGGAGATGCTCAAGGTAGTGAGTCTTCACGCAAAAGCAAGCAATACCTTATATACTGTCTATATGGAAAACACTTATGCTAGGTAAAATGTTATCAATGTGGTTTGCTAAAAATGAAAAAGAGACCTTTTAAAATATGTATCGTATTCCTATAATATAATATATGCTTTATATTCTTTTCAGAGGATTTGGGACAAGGGGAGAAATCTAATGTACTGACAATATACTCAAGGAGGATGTCTGCCTAACAAAATACTTGCCTAAAAAATGCTCTATTTAATTTTAAAATCTTGTGGAAATTTTAGACATAATTAAATGAGCTATAGAAAATCATCTTAAATTTGTAAGATTTATATGCACAGAATCTCAAAAATGTGAGGTGCTCCAAGCTTTATTACTAATTCACTTTCAATTCTTATAACGATTATACCACTCAACCAGTGACTGAGAAGATTCAGAAAACTAATCAAATGTTATTATATTACCTATTAGGAGTCTAGACAGTCTCCTCATCACCTACACTCTGATACAACTTTGAAAGGATTTTTTTTACAGGATATTATTTCTTTATCTCCATACCAGATTAAAAAAATAGAAACACTTAAGAGTTCCCCAGTCAAATAAAAATGTGTAAATTTGTTGGTGTATCACATTTGCATTTATACTTGCTCTAAAAAAATGGAGTGCTATATAAAAATTGAAAAGTATTTCTTTTTATGTAGTCAGTCTGTTGTTCAGTGTTCAGCTTCTTCAGTTTTCATGGATTATAAAATTTTTTAGGACAGAAGATACTCCTTACAAGACCATTTTATAAGTTTCCAGCTTTAAAGGTAGATGTAATTTTAATAATCACATACCACTTTGAAGCTCTATTAGGCACAGCTCTAGTTGCCTTTGATTTATTCATCAATGTGAGAAACCTGAAATTTTCTAAAGTCTAATTTTTGAAAAAAAGTTAAGTAGTCTCTTCGCATTAAACCATCTGCTCTGCATGATTACAGGGACTCATTTTTAGCCTTGAAGCTTCTCTTTTGTGATTAAATTTCTTGTTCAACCAAGAGAACTCTTTGGAAACCATTTATTTCCGATAAAGCATATCATTGTTCATAGAGTAGTAAAATAATTATAATCAGTCCAGATTCTTATTGGATAGCATCTTAAAGAGCTCATGTAAATTTAGCATATTATTAATGCAAGTTCATTTATTCATCACCAAAGAAGAATCTAAAGATAGTACTCACGCAGGTTTAATTGTATAGGCATGCTTTTCATGGACAAAGGCACCAGCAAGACCTCCTGCTCCTGCATTTAAATACTGGATTAAAAAAAAAAAAAACACTGAATTGAGAATAAATTAAACTGTATGGGTTTACCTAAATATGTATGACAAAAGTAAACAATGTAATAATTTGACTTTTTTGTTATGAAACCAACTTTTGACAAGATCAGAATGTGTGACTATTTGAACTTTTATAATAAAACAGAATTTAGAGTTACCTTGTTTAAAGAAAAAAAAATGAAACATAGCATTATTAATCGAGAATAAATAGCTATTATTTTTTTAGCCAAATTTTGCCCCAACTAGTAGATAATAGTTCCAGTGACATTTATCTCATTTCAGAGCTCATTCATTTCAATTATTTTGTTACAAACTATTTAAATAATAATAAAAGATTATATTTTTAAAACACTTAAATTTAAATAAAATTGGTTTTATATCCATGCTCCCTGTCAATTAACTTGTCTTCAAATGTCAGTACAAAGTTGATTCCATAAGAATTATCTTTACTTATGTAGAAATTTCACAACATATCAACAAAAAACTCAGATCAATTTGAATTAAGTTCTAAGTGTGGAGCTTTTTTTCCAGAACCTCCTGACTTTTACAGAGCAGCCAGGGAATTGAAGGAATAGTATTCTATAGAGGATGGAAATAGCAAAATTTAATAACCTATACTATTCTATCATGTGCTCTACAGTTAACTAGAGTCAGAAAATACAGTAATGAAAGAAATGGAGGTAAGTAATTCAAATACTTAAAATTGGCCACTGATCCAGTTTTACATTTAGATTAACGTCAATATGGAATAAAAGAATAAAAATATATTAACTAGTTTGTTGATACCTTGTAGGAGCACCAGCAGGCAAAATCAACTCCCCACTCATGTAAGTGGAGTTCAACATTTCCAACTGCATGTGCCAGATCAAAGCCAACCAGACAACCCTGTGGAAGAACATAATAAATTTTGAATTCACTTAATGATTTGAAATAGTAAAGACAGTATACTTAAGAAAACCTTTGACACACTGCTGTACCATAAATATAGTTCATCCTTTGGTACAGTGACCCACAAAGTGTGAGTCACAAAATCCTGGGCATTCCCAAGACCCTTTCAGGTCAAAACAATTTTCATACCATGAAGAAGACATTCTTTGCCTTCTTCACTGTGTTGACATTTGCAGTGATAATGCAAAAGCAATGATGGGTGAAACTGCTGGCACCTCAGCACAAATCAAGATAGTGGAAGCTTGTACTGTCATTGTGTGTCAAAGCCATTCAGTTACAGCATAAAAAAGTTAATTTCACTTATATATCTCCTTGATAAAAGTATAAAACTAATACATTTATATTAAATCTCAATATCTTAATTTTCCTATTTTTAAGATTTAATGTGGGAATTATGCATAAGACATTTGACCATATCCTGAAGTAGGATAGTTGTCTCAAAGTAATGCACTTATGCAATTATTTGAGTTGCAAGCTGAATTAGCCACTTTAGCTTACTGGAAAACCGTTTTTGCATGAAAGAGCAACTTATATACAAACAATAGTAGGTCATACTTAGGTATTTGACAGACATATTTTGGAAAATTAAATGAGTCTGTCAATTTAAGGAAAATAACTCACAGGATTTGTTGCCAAGGAAAAAAAGTAGTTACCAAGATAAAGTAGAATTTTGGAAAACTTGTATCCACTTTTATGAATATGACCATTTCCCAGTATTTAAAGATATTTCTGATGAGTTTAGAAGTAATATATAATTTTTAAAAGAACATATACTGAAATATGTAAATATCAATATTTGTAAAATATGCATAATAATGAACCAATATTTTCCAAATGACCAACGCTTATTGTTACATATCATGCATGGATAAAAGATCTATTCAAAATGAAAAATCAGTCAATGGATTTTAATGTAACAAAGCATAGAAAGATCAGTGATTTGGTTTCACATTTCATACCACAACTCCCAAGAAGTTCTCACTTGCCAAATTCTGGTGTAGTATCAAATATTATTCACAATTAACTGAAAAAGCTATTAAACTACTTTTGCTTTTTCTAAATATATATCTGTACAAGGTCCAATTTCATTCCTGTGGTTCACAAAGGAAAAAAAAAAATCAAGAGATTGAATGCAGAAGGTATATAAAACCAGTTGCCTGCTATGAAGCCAAACAGTAAAGATCTCTATCTATATAAAATATCTGCCAAATATAAAACATTCCTTTTATTGTTTCTTTTAGAAACTACAGTTTTGCTTCCCTAACAATATATTATTTATGTCAATATGTAATGGGTTTGCCACTTTTGTCCTAAAATAAATAAGTAAATGTATTTTAAAATTCTGTTTTAATTAGAAATACAGTAAATATAGATAGGTAGATATAAACAATATTAAAACCTCTTTGAGGTGATCAGTGATTTTTAAGAATATAAAAGGTTTGTATTACTAAAAAGTTTGAGAACTGCTGCTTTAGTATATCCTGTTAACCTGAAGGAGTTAATAAAATTTTCAGTTTATCACTTAACCCCACATCATGTCATTTAATTTGATCAAGTCTATGCATGCTGTAGTAAATTGCCTTAGTGGTTCCGATTCTACGTCCCTTCCTGTATCCATGTCCCTTGCCACGTAACTTTTCAGTTCCTTCACTGAGAACAGTGTGCAATTCTCCGCCACTGGGATCAGTCAGGTGACTTGTTTTGAGCAAAGGGACATCAGCACATATAATACAAAGAGAATGTCCTAATCACTTGAGTGATGAGGCTTGCTCTCTCTTGCCCTCTGCCACCTATATGAGAAGGACTTGCTTCGGCTAACCTACTGGCCCAGATGGAAGATGAAAAAATTGTGGATCAGAGTCATCCTCCCCTGGGCTCAGCCTGGATTCTACTCTCCCACATTCTCTTAGTTGGCCAGAGATGCATGAGTGACCTCAGCTGAGATTAGCAGGATCCGTGCAACTAAGTCCTGTCTAGATCAGTTGACACAAAGGTGACCCATAAAAATGATGCTGTTTTTGACTCTATACTGTGTTCTTCCTGTACATTGACTTGAGACCCTAACAGTCTCTTACTATCTGACTCTATTCTGTCTCAATTAATGACATGAATTTTTTTTAAAAAGCTGATAGTTAAATGGGGGTGATAGTTCACTTTGCAAACGTGTCTTACCTCTGAGTTCTTCTGTTGTTAGCTTACTAAGAGCAAACATAATAATTACATTATTAAAAGTTGTAGACTTCCTGCAACTTCGAAGAAACACATCTATGGATTGAAGTTTTTGAAGTAAATAATTGCAGAGGTACCAATTTTAGATTGTTCTAACACCTCTTAAGAATAAATAACCCCAAACTGCTATTACAGGTACTTTCCCCAGAACAGAGGGATGCAAACCATGACCTGTTCTTTTTTTTTTTTTCTTCTTTTTTTTTCATGACCTGGTTCTTAATGAATAAAGTTGTATTTGAGCACAACAATCTCATTTGTTTAGATATTGTCTATGGCTGCTTTTGCAAGCACAAATGAATCACTGCAACAGAGACCATATGAACGAAAAAGTCTGAAACATTTGCTATTTTGCCCATTACAGAAAAGATTTGCTGACCCCTGCCCTATAGCATTGGTTTCCATAGAGAAACTCAATATATTGGGGAGTCAGTTAGAAACCTTACTGTAATGTGGCCAGAACTAGAACATCATAAAAGAAAAAGTTCTTACAGGTATTTTGTTTCTAAAACACAAAAAATGAGCAATACATGTCATAAAAATATGACAGATGCTTCATGCTAACACAAATTTTTGAAGCAATAGAAAAGAAATACAGTTAATCTCCATCAAGATTTAGAGGTCATCAAAACTGAGGTTTGCAGACTAGGTTCAATAGATATATATACAGAGACATACATATGTGCAATTAGTTTGTATTTTAAGATACACTTTTAATATTGAAATTAAATTTTGGGGAAAAAAGTTCTGAATTTAAAATTCTCTTTTTTCTCACCAACACATCCAATTAAAGTGCTTTTTTTTATGAAGAAATTTTTACAACTTAACTTCTCTTAGACAAGTTTTTACAACACAGCTTTTCTTAGAAAACTCAAGGAATAAAAAGGCAGCACTTTTATTTTATTATCAATTATTTATAAAGAATGGCACAATGAAGAAACCATGAAACTTCACCTACAGTATCCTGTTATTAAAAGTTCTGTGGTCACATCTGTGGCACGATGTAAAATAATCACTTGTGGCTCCTACAGTATGTTTTAATGCATGTACAATTCTTTCCCCATGGGTGGGTGGCAGAGAACATAAATTATTAAAATGTGACTGTTTTTAGGAAATGACCGTAAGATACAAACTTGCATGAGATCATCACAAAGTAATTTTACAAAAGTTTCACTAGATGGCAGCATCTTAAAAATAAAGAAAAAACTAATAGTTCTCCAAAACCTCTGTATAGCCACGCAGTTAACATTTTCATTATTTTACGAATAAGAGTAGGTAAAACAATATGAATGTGTGAAAACAGACCTCACCCTTGAGTGCATACTTTATGTAATTTTAAAAATAGAAATCAAATATTTTTCAACAGATTTTTATTAAAATTACCCACAATTGCTCAGACTCTCATTGATACAAGGACAGCAGCGGTGTTCAGCCACCGTGTCACCTGGCTTTACAGTCAGTCCCCAAACTATGGCAGTAGTCTTCTAACCATTCGGACTACTTCCAGCCTGCCTTCTTCCAATGAACTTTCTAAATCATACATTTGGTTATAAGACTTCCTGTGTCCCTTCAAAGATCTCCCCATTAACTTGAGAATGTAACTCATTTTCCTTGGTATGGCTTTTAAAGACCTTTATGATCTGGTTCTTTCCAGCTTTCCTGTCCCGGGTGCCCTACACGTACTTTCATTTATTCGCATAAACTGTTCTCTGTCTCTGGGGTATTCTTTCCCTCCTCATTTGCCTGGGTAGCTCAAATTTTGATCACAAGATAACTTCCATAGGAAGATACCTTTGCCAAACCCTCTTGCTTCTCTCATCTTACAGCCCTGGTTGCATAAATCTCTTGTAGCAATTTTCCAATCTTAAACTGTCTTCTATTTTTATATAATATGAACTCAAATAATTCAATTGTTGAATAAATAAGTAAAAAAACAAAGTCATACAATTGTCAATAAATATTCTGTAAACTGAAGCTAAATGTTAAAATATTATTTGATATCCTTTATTTCTGTTTCAATTTTATTGCATAAACCATTTATTCAGGCTTGGCATATTTTAAAATGAAGTTTCTTGGACAGTCAAAAGTAGTTTAAAATATATTTAAAATCCCTTTCAATAAAACAAGGAATATCATGACTTTTTGTCTTTGCCATCTTTACTAGCACAATACTAAAAATTTTTCTAACCAGTGGAATAATACACAGGGTCTGTGCTGAGATTTCCAGGTAAAGAACTAGATCACTGTCTCTCAAATTTAGTTTATTATTTGTTTATTAATTAAAATGAAATATGGAATAGTACAGTTTAATTTTATCCCTTGTAGCATTAAAGTCCTGATAACTTTATTGATTTATTCTATAACAGATTGGCTTTAGACAGATATTATTAGTTTGTTCTTTCTTCACCAAAAAAAAAAAAATCCTATAAATTATGAAGACCATCAATAAGTAGCAAGTTTGGTGGGAAAAGGGTTAATTATATATTTGTAGCTATACACAGAACTGAAAGTCAGCTTGTATGCATTTGTGTGTTCAAATAATTGTTAAAATAATAAAATACTTAAGATAGGTAAGTAGCCTTTGTCTTTGAGCCAGTTGAGTAAGCGCCCAGGTTACTTAGGAGGTACCTACAAGAGATGCCTGTCACACAGCCTGTGGTCATTCATACATACCAGCTGGGTGCATGTCCAGACTTCAGTGGATGCCCTTG